GGGCGGGGAGGGCGAAGAAGGCAGGCAGGGAGGGAGGAAGGAAAGGAAGGAGGCCAGTTTGAGGTGGGCTGGGAGGCAGCCAGCTGGATAGTGAATGCACGTTGTGGAGGGCGGGAGGCTGGGCGACTGTAGGACCAGTGGCGAGGGTTCTGGGCTGCCCATGACTGTCTTGTGCGCCTGTCTTCTGTAGATAATATCCAAATCACATAACATCCTACTTCACGGAATGTATTGTGGACATTAAACGACATACTTGAATAGTAAATTTTGAGATCAGGCGTGTGAGGCATCCTACTTTGTTCTTCTTCGAAATTGCTTTAGCCATTTGGTGCCTCTTTCCTTTCGATATAAAGTTGGAGATTGTTTTTTCCATTTCATTGAAGAATGTTGATGGGATTTGGATCAGGATTGCATTGTATCTATAGATTGCTTTAGGTAGCATTGATATTTTCACAGTGTTAAGTCTTCCAATCCATGAGCATGGAATGTTTTTCCATTTATGTAGATCTCTTTTAGTTTCTTGCAGTAGTGTTTTATAGTTTTCCTTGTGTAAGTCTTTTACATCCCTATTTAGGTTAGGTCTATTCCTATATATTTTATCCTTTTGGGAAATATTGTAAATGTTATTGATTTCTTGATTTCCTTTTCAGAGTCCCCTTCATTAGTGTAGAGGAACTCAGCTGATTTTTGTGTGTTCATCTTATACTCTTCTACTTTGCTGAATCCTATTAGTTCCAGTGACTTTCTTGTGGAGTCTGTGGGGTTTTCTATGTATAGGATCATGTCATCTGCAAATAAGGATAGTTTTAATTATTCCTTTCCGATTTGGATACCCTTTATTTCCCTTTCTTGCCTTATTGCTCTAGCTAGAAATTCTAGTACAATATAAGAATGATGATAAATGGTGTCCCTGTCTCATTTCTGTTCTCAAGGAGAATGCTCTCAATCTTTCTCCGTTGAGACTAATTATGGCTGTTGGTTTTGCATATATACCGTTAATTATGTTGAGGAATTTCCCTTCTATTCCTATTTTCTGAGAATTTTTATCAGGAAAGGGTGTTGGATTTTATCAAATGCCTTTTTTTTTTTGCGTCAGTTGAGATGATCATGTGATTCTTTTCCTTTGTTTTATTTATGTGGTGAATTACTTTGGTTGATTTTGTAATGTTGAATCATCCTTGCAGCCCTGGTATGAATCCCACTTAATCATGATGTATTATTCTGTTCTCTAGAATTTTTTTGAGAATTTTTACATCTATATTCATGAGGGTTATTGGTCTGTAATTTTCTTTTTCAGTGGTATCTTTGCCTGGCTTTGGTATCAGGGTTATGCTGACTTCATGGAATGAAATAGGGAGCATTCTTTCCTTTTCTATATACTGGAATAGTTTGAGTAGAATTGATGTTAGCTTTTCTCTGAATATTTGGTAGAATTCTCTAGTAAAGCCATATGGGCCGGGGTTTTTATGTTGGGAATTTTTTTTTTTTAAACATCTTCAATTTCTTCTTTTGTTATGTGTCTGTTCAAATTTTCTACCTCTATATGTGTTAGTTTAGGTAGGTGGTGTGTTTCTAGAAATTTGTCCATTTCTTCTGGGTTTTCAAATTTGTTGGAGTACAATTTTTCATAATATTCTGTTATGGTCCTTTTAATCTCAGTTGATTTTGTTGAAGTGTCACCCATCTCTTTTCTATTTTGGTTATTTCCATGTTCTCATTTTTTTCCTTTGTCAATTTGGCCAGTGGTTTGTCAACTTTATTGATCCTCTCAAAGAACCAACTTCTAGTCTTATTGACTCCATTGTTTTTCTGTTTTCTATTTCATTTATTTCTGCTCTGATCTTTATTATTTCCTTTTTTCTGGTGACTGTGGACTTCTTTTGCTGCTCCTTTTCTATTCGTTTGAGTTGTAGGGTTAAGCTATTGATTTTGGCCCTTTCTTTGTTTTTGATGTGTGCATTTATTGTTATAAATTCTCCTCTGAGCACTGCTTTTGCTGTGTCCCAAAGTTTTTGGTATGTTCAGTTTTCATTCTAAGAATTTTTTAGTTTCCTTTTTCATCTTCTATTATCCAATAGTTTCTAAGTAAGGTGTTACTCAGTTTCCATATATTTATTTATTTTTCTTGTTCTTTCTGTTATTGATTTCTAGTTTTATAGTCTTATGATCAGAGAAGATGCTTGGTATTATTTCAATGTTTTTGAATTTATTTAAGCTTGCTTTATGGCATAATATATGGCCTATTCTGGAGAATGATCCATGTGCATTGGAGAAGAATGTGTACTGTGGTGATATGTTCTGTATATGTCTATGAGAGCGAGTTGGTTGTTTTATTTAGATCTGTATGTTTGTTGAGTTTCTTTCTAGTTATTCTGTCCATCATTGAAAGTGATGTGTTAAAGTCTCCTACTATTATTGTAGAATTGTCGATTTCTCTTTTCAATTCTGTTAGAGTTTGTTTTATATATTTTGGAGTTCTGTCATTGGGTGTGTAAATATTTATTATGGTTATGTCCTCTTGGTGAATTGATCTTTTATTCATTATATACTGCCCTTCTTTGTCTCTTATAATGGATTTTGACTTAAAGTCTATTTTATCAGAGTCGTGATCCGTTCTTTTATTCGTTTCTTCATAAATCTCTAACTCAATTATGTTGCAACACCAGAAATTCTTAGACTAGAAAAGGGCTCAAGAACTAACTAAAATTGATCTGGAGCTTAACCAAAAAATGTTTCATGTGAATATACTTAGATGCATATAATATTGATCAAAATAATGCTTTAAAAAGTCAAATAATTAATTTCTTTAATTTTTTTCCCTTTATGTTGTTTTTCAGAATGGAAACTTATTGAAAAAGGTAGTGAGTATTTGCCAAGTATTTAGTAAATTCATTCTATTTACTGCTGAAATTATGTATAACTCCATAAAGTTTTAATATTTTTTTCAAAATAAGGCTTTCTCTGGAAGGATCCCTGGACTTTGTTTTAAGAAGTTAAATCTGACAACAGCTATACATAAAATACTTGTCAATCGTTTAGAAAGAAAGGTAAGAACACAAAGTTAAGAAAAAGTTAAAGTCCTCACATTAGATGAAAATAAGAAATTAAATAAACAATTATTTCCCTTAAGAGGGAAAATTAGATATATCAGTGGAATTTCATAGCTATTTCATCTAAGAATTCTTTTCATGGGCAGTCTATAAATGTTTCTTATATTTCTCCCTCCATAATGAGCCAATTGTTGCAAATACTTCTTTGTGAGTTTAACTGTTAAGACCATTTTGTTAAATATATTAAAACCCTCTTGGATAATGTGAGTAGCCAAGTTTCTTAGTGCCAGAGTTAACATTTGTGTTTCAAATTAGAAGAAGTGGATATGACATGAAAAAGAGGGATCATAAAGCTGAAAAGAGAAGTAGCTATGACTTTCAGGATGAAGGCCACTGAAAGAACAGATAGAAGAAATAGTTTTGAAGTGTTAAGATACCACTAATTTTTTGGTAAATAGTGATTGCTAAAATAAGAAAAGAGGAAGAATGGTTAACTTTACTGAGATAAATTTAAGAAGAGCAATGCATTATAAAAAATTTCAAGAGCACCTATTTGGTTTTACAGGAAAAACTTTTATCCCCAGGAATATGTGCTTAATGGATAGCAGTGAGTTGAGAGCTGGATTCTTCACTCAGCTCTAAATGGTTCTTTCTAAAAGATAAGCAAAAAAAAAAAAAAAAAAAAAGGGTAAAAATTTTTCTCAAAATGTTGAGACATTATGTGCTTTCTGAAAATAATTCTGTCTGTTAGCACAGGTCCATAGATTTTAGACTGGGAACAATATTAAAATGGGCCTAAGATATAATAAGATTTTTAAGTAAAACTTGAAATATGTGAATGATGTACTTTTTTGGATGAAAGCATGAGTATATACCTGTGATTCTGACGGAGTTGCTGTATTAACAGGAAGCAGGTGAGAAATAAAAAGTTTAAAACTGGTCAGTGCCATCATTTTGAATGTTTGGGCTGCAGGGCTTATTGTATTGAAGTTAATAACTAATTATTTAAAAAATCATTTATTGACAGTATACATGACAAAATGACACGGGTCCCAATCTCAAGTAACTTGTAGTTGTGTGAGAGGGTGCATAAATGTAAAGGAGGCAGAGTGATAGAGTTATGACCCAGATATCATGGAAACAGAGAGAAGGACCCCCTAAGGCACCTTATAGGAGGGTAGATAGGGCTCCTTGGAGGAGCTGACACTGAAGATAAATCTTAAAGAATGAGTAGAAAGTAACCAGACAGAGAAGAAGAGGAAGGAGGTTTCAGGCTGAGGGCAGCAATTTGAGTGATATAAAGATAAGAAACTAGATGATTGGTGAAGTATAACCTCGAGAAATTTACTGCTAATTACAGCACATGGTTCCAGTATTTTAAGTGTGGTTTTACAATGGATAATCCTTGGACTCTCTACGTTCATATTACTAAGAGTACATGCTAAAACTACAGAGCCTTAGACCCCAACCCAAACCTAGGAATTATAATTGCTGGTAATCTTAATCTTTAACAAGCTTGGCAGGTATTTATTATGAGCATTATATTTAAACACTGATTTAGAGGGTCAAAGAAAGAGAGAACCCAGATTAAAGAAAATATCCTGAAAATATTTATTATTTTAAGGTCTTTTACAGTAATGGTGAAATCAACCATATATCGAGGGAAACAGACATAAAAAAATACGTAATATAAAACAAAGTTAAGATTAGAAAAAATAAAAGGCAAGGAGGTTAGAACTAATACGGAATATAGGAAGGCATAGCAAACGGACAATAAAGAAAAAGAGCTTAGAAGTTATGAGAAGTTTTGGCAACAGCAAAGAAATAAATTAAAAAAATCAAAATAGTTTCTATTAAATCAGAAGAAATGAAAAAAAATCTGGATTTCTTTAAATTTTATGAGTGTATATTTAAACATAAACATTTTTTTCTAAAGGTGTATTTATGGTATTTTAGATAGAAGTGGATTCTGTTGTTGTGCCTTTGCCCTTTTCAAGTCATGAACTGTTCATAGAGGATTCTGGTGCAATGTACATGATTACCACTCCAGCTGGACTCATCATAAAGTGGGCTCATCTGACAGGAATCATGGACATTCATTTTGGCTTCCAGTTTAACTTGTCTTCACACACAGAAGGACTTTGTGGTGAGCACTGCTCTACAAATCTCAATTTCTTCTAACATTTTTTCTCCTTCTCACATTATACACTTTTGACGCCTGTTATACCACTTTTCAGATTTGAGATGTGATATTAACCTTCTGTTCCCCCAACGTGAATATTGAGGAAAGCAGTGACTTTCAATAAGCAGGTTTAAGAAGCAAATAACATTTGAATTTGAGTATTTTATGGAAATATCTGCTTATCCCTATTACTATGGATATTGTTTGTATTCCTACTGGCTCATCTTTGTTAAGCATTAACGAAGTGTCAGGCTATTATCTTACATACTTTAACTCACTTAATTTTAACAGCAGATCTATTAAGTAGGTACTAGTGTTATCTCAACTTATACATGATAAAAATGGGGCATAGAAAGGTTAAAGGCTTACATAACTTTGTTTCTTCCTTTTTTTTTAAAGTTTGAAATCAGGGAAAACATGTTTAAGTTCCCTTGAAGGTTAGATGCAGGGAACACAATGTTCTGAATATTTGTCCCCATTTTATTATGAACTGTAAAGCCTAGAGGTACCTCTATATCTAGTTTCATATATTAATGTTACATAGATATAAAAAGAATTATGAGCCAAAGGTAGCAAATTAGAAATATCTCTAGGTATATAACAAAAAAATAATACAGGCTCTGGTGTCTGCTGGAAAGCTGAACACAGGCTCTTCCCATTTACATCTCTGTGCTCTTAAGTGTACATCAGTTTCCTCATCTTAAAAATGGGGACAGTTATATCTACCTTCAGGATGGTTATTAGGATTAAATGAGAACGTTAATACAAAACACTTAACATGTTGCTTAATATACACAGTCAGGATTAGTTCAGTACAAATGTATTTATTTTAAGCTCACAAAGTATTAGTTGGACATAAACCTGTTTCCATCAAGTCAATTCCGACTCATAGCGACCCTATAGGACAGAGTAGAACTGCACTGTAGGATTTCTAAGGAGCAGCTGGTGGATTCAAAGTATCGACCTTTTGGTTAGCAGCCAGGGTCCTAACCACTATGTTTCAACAAATGGATGCAGCGCTGGAAGTGCTCCCTTGTCTACACCAAGAAATTTGGAAGACAATTACCTGACCAACTGACTGGAAGAGATCCACATATGTGCCTATTCCAAAGAAAGGTCATCCAACTGAATGCGGAAATTATCGAACAATATCATTAATATCACACACAAGTAAAATGTTGCTGAAGTGGTTGCAGCAGTACATTGACAGGGAACTGCCAGAAATTCAAGCTGGATTCAGAAGAGGACATGGAATGAGGGATATCATTGTTTATGTCAGATGGATCCTGGCTGAAAGCAGAGAATACCAGAAAGATGTTTACCTGTGTTTTATCGACTATGCAAAGGCATTTGACTGTGTGGATCATAACAAATTATGGATAACATTGTGAAAAATGGGAATTCCAGAACACTTAATTGTGCTCATGAAGAACCTGTACATAGATCAAGAGGCAGTCGTGCTAATAAAACAAGGGGATACTTCGTGGTTTAGAGTCAGAAAAGGTGTGCGTCAGGAGTCTATCCTTTTACCATACTTATTCAATCTGTATGCTGAGCAAATAATCTGAGAAGCTGGACTAAATGAAGATAACGAGGCATCAGGATTAGAGAAAGACTCGTTAACAACCTGAGATATACAGATGACACAACCTTGCTTGCTGAAAGTGAAGAGGATTTGAAGCACTTACTGATGAAGATCAGATTGCAGTCTTCAGTATGGATTAGACCTCCACATAAAGAAAACAAAAATCCTCACAACTGGACCAAAAAGCAACATCATGATAAATGGAGAAGAGATTGAAGTTGTAAAGGATTTCATTTTACTTGGATCCACAATCAGCACCCATGGAAGCAGCAGTCAAGATTTGCATTGGGCAAATCTGCTGCAAAAGACCTCTTTAAAGTGTCAAAAAGCAAAGATGTCACTTTAAGGACTAAGATGTACCTGACCCAAGCCATGGTGTTTTCAGTCACCTCATATGCATGCAAAAGCTGGGCAATGAATAAGGCAGACTGAAGAAAAATTGATGCATTTGAATTATGGTATGGGTGAAGAATATTGAATATACCATGGACTGCCGAAAGAACAAATCTGTCTCGGAAGAAGTACAACCAGAATGCTCCTTAGAAGCAAGAATGGACATGTTATGAGGAGGGATCAGTCCCTGGAGAAGGACGTCACACTTGGTAAAGTAGAAGGTCAGCAAAAAAGAGGAAGACCCTCAATGAGATGGATTGACACAGTGGCTGCAACAATGGGCTCAGGTATAACTACAATCATGAGCATGGCGCAGGACAAGTCAGTGTTTCGTTCTGTTGTACATAGGGTCGCTACGAGTTGGAACTGACTGGACGGCACCTAACAACAACAACAGCAAATGTTAATTGAGTAAAAGTTTATGGATCACCTTCTGAATGTCTGACACTATGCTAGGTGCTGACAACTCAAAAATGAATACGGTGAAGTCCTTGTCCTCAACAAATTACATGAAATACCCCAAAGTATTCTTTTAGGATATAAAGCGCTTAATGGAAAGTTTTGCTAGAATAGTTTACATATTTACTTGCTTATTTAGACTATGCTAAACATAGCATAAACATCTATGGTGACTTAAGAATATCACTGTAGAAAGTATGTTTATATTTGAATAATATAATAACTAAATGGTTATTGAGTAGTAACTCAGAAACTTTGGAAATGCATATTTTTTCCTATGATTTATTGCTTCTGAGTGTTATGATTTATGTCAGAGTTTCATGTTTTTTCTTTTTTTCACTTCCTCCTCTGTTGTAAGATGTTGCTTTTATGAAGACAGATGCTGTGCTATCTGAGTTTTAACTAATCACTGTAGAAAGGGACTAGTATTATTTTCTTGTCAGCTGGGGGTTACTTTCTAAATTCCATGACCTCCACAGTGTGGCAGGGGTGGCTCTTTAAACGGAAATCTAGGTGCTGCCAGTACTACTATGTTAGCATGACCCAAACTGAGCCTGGACACCAGAATGGGAGGCCAATATTGGCACTCCAGTCTACTTAGAAGTGTGAAATCTGTGGGGGTGGTGACTGCGGTTGCAATGAAAACACATTTTTTACTAGCAGTTACCTTTCTCCAGAAAAGTTTAGCTTTAAAAAAATAGTAGTTGTGGTCTTCCGGCAACATGGTGCTCTAGGTAGACACACCACGCCATCCTTCCACAGCAAAGATCCAAAAAACTAAGCCAAACAGAGAAAACAGCAATCCTGAAACCCTAAAACATCAAATGAAGAGATAAAGAACTCAGCTAAGCACCAAATAGAGTGAGAAAATTGACAGAGAACGGAGAGCAAGGAGAGGTTCATGCAGAGGTCCCCTATCAGCTAAGGCAGCCCGGATCCGCCATCTTGGAATCCTATCAGAGACCAGCAAATAGGGAGTACAAGAAAGCAGCTTCATGGAGCTTCCAGCAGGAGACAGAACAACCGGTAATTGGCGATATACGCTTTCCCACCCCCCACCCTTCTTCACCCCGCACTCGGCCTCCTCTGCTTCCCGCGGCCACAGTCTCTTGGCCAGGAAGCACCAGCTGCTTGGATTCCACCCTCCCGCACTGGCCGAACTACCTGATAGGGAGTTCAAATCTCTAATTCTCAAAATTATCCAAGAGTTGAAGCAAAAAGCAGACAAAAATGAAAAAATAGACAAAGTCATGGAAAAGGCAGCCAAATTCATGGAAAATACAGACAAAAACATGGAATAATTCAAGAAAATAATGCAGGAACAAAATGCCAAAATAAAATCACAACTAGAAATCATACAAAAACAACAATTAGAAATCCAAAAGGTAAACAACAAGATTTCAGAAATGAACAGTGTCATAGAAGGGCTGAGGAGCAGATTTGAAATGGTGGAAGACACGATTAGTGGAATTGAAGACAAACACTTGGATACAACTCTGTTC